ACACTTTGTTTACAGTAACACATGTTTTAAGCAACCACCTTTCTTAATAAGATAATGTATAACTGTGCTTCCTATTTCTATAAGTCATTTTAAGTATCTGTTTATACCATAATAAACAAATATATAACCAGAGTAACCTTCACACCTATGGATCTTTTTATACATGATACAAATTCAGCCGTGGCTGGCCGAAATTACCAATTTCTCGAACAAATTTGCCAGCACCCTACGGGTTCGAGCGAACGAAAATAAAATAAGGAAAAAAAAACAACAATATTCCTAAAGAACGCCAAAAAACGACAAAATTGAAATTGTTGCAGGCTCGGTTTGATTATGCCTGTTCATGGACGGGACTGGAATATGGAATTTGCCTTACACGCTTAAGCAGAAATCAATATTTAGGCTCAAAAATACTTACTTTTATAAAATCTCCTTCCACGACATAGAGCAGCTTGAAAAGTTTACCATCAGCGAAATCGTCAAAATATCCTAAGAGCCGTTGGCGTTGCCATTGTAATGTACTGTTATGTTCGTCTAGAATCATTCTCGTACCATTAATACTGTTAAATGAATGATAGCAATTTAGTTTAAAAAATGCCGATACAGTTGACAAAAAACAGTTAAAAATGTATTTAGAGTAGTCATTTCATGCACTATAAGGTCAAGTGTTTGAACTTTATATCATAATTTTAATATTGTATATTTTCAGTTAGGAAATACTAACGTTACGAATTGTGCTTATATCTAGATATTATAATAAAAATATTTTTAGGGTTTACATTCTGTTTATGCTAAACAATTTCATTTCAATATTTCTAATATCTCAAGATGCAAGTTTTTCAATAGTATACCTTTAAATGTTTTACGCCAAATTCTAAAGTATAATTCATTTACAATAAATCGGGTTTTATTTGATCAAATATAATGTTTTACAGAAGATTACTGAAATAATATATGAGCCGCGCCATGACAAAACCAACATAATGTGTTTTCGACCAGCATGGATCCAGACCAGCCTGCGCAACCGCGCTGTCTGATAAGAATCCATGTTGTTCGTTATTAGTTCTACTTGTAATAGGATTTGTAAGCGAGCAGCATGGATCAATCTATAAAAGGTATTGCAAGAAATTAGGAAGTGTGTGTTTTTTACTTGTTTCTTTGGTAAAAATGTGCTTAGCAAGCTCATTCCAGAGATCCTAGGGGCCAACAGCACCGGCCATGGGAACAAAGCTCCATAGTAGCCTTTTGCTCACATGGACCACGCATTATAGGCACGGATGTTTCAGCAAAGGATTGATGCTGTAGCTAGCTGAATAGATTCCTCACATGAAGGAATTCAAAGTCCCTATTTCATTTGAACCCACAGCGTTGAAGGGCATGCGGTTTGGTGTCAACCACCCGGCCACGGTCTCCCCATTGCTAGCTTACTTTAATTATGTAACATTACTCAGGACAAAGACTTTATTGATTTTTAATATAAGAATTTGATATCATCTAACTGACTTGTGAATTAACTTAAAATATGATTGTTTTGCATGTAAGAGAGAATTATTTTTCATTTGTGAACACCAGTCAGTTGTTATATTTTCAATCCAAGCCACGCTATATTCGAACTTACGACAATATGCAGTCTAGCGCTCGCTCCATTAAATATCGTCCGATATCATTCAAACAAACAAACAGAACTTCCTTTATAACTTATTAATACAACTAAGGTTGTTTTGTTACTTAAAAATTCAAGAAAATATTCTCTAGATACATAGAAACACTTTAAATAAGGTTAGAAAGACCAGCCTCTGGAGCATTATGCGTTGTTAAATTCGTATTAATCGAATCGATATCTCACCTAAATTGTTTTATTATAAAACTTTTATATGAAATGTTGTGATTTTACAAATATTTAAACATTTAGTAAACAATATAATTATTTTCATTATAGGGGAATCTTAGTGAACCTTTATTGTAATTGTAGTTAACATGCTACATATGCGACTTTACAGTGTCAACATGGACCTTTTCGCTGCAATTTAAAATCAAGTTACTGTTAAACTTACTTGAAATGCATCAAATCCCTTGAGTGGTCGTCATGAAGGCCGATATATCTAAATAGAAATAAATCACAAATTCTTATAAATCTGTATCCAAAAAGAGTTTTCGTACAAAATAATCCTTTTCAATGTAAATCTTTTACAAAAATGCTAAAAATATGTAGTCTGTATTCTCAAGTTAACTTGTCAAGTAAGACAGGAACAGAAAGTGAACTGACATCGAGAAGCGCCATGGCGGACGGGTGAGAAATCTAAGGATTGCTGCATGCATGGGTTCAAATCCCGTCAGGGTCAATCGGTAAATTCCGTGAGCAAGAAACTTTACACTCATTGCTTAGAAATGGTTGGTTCCAGGAACGGGTTCAAACATAGTGTTTCAATAACCTTAAAGTTTCCAACACAATCGAACTATAATCAAGTAGTATAAACTAAAGGTCAAACATTTTATGTATATATTTAAGAAATATAATTATTCTTCTATACATTCACACAACATTTGTGTCTGTGTCAAAAAATATTCACCTTATAGCAAATATGTAAATAATTTAGATGAATACCCCAAAATTCGATTTCAAAAATCTCGCATTACAAACCTTTATCTCATTTTCCTTATAATAATAATAATAATAATAAGGAAAATAAAAAAAATCTTGTAATTAATTGATTGAAAAGTGTAATCAAAGTACATGAACATCAAAAATAACATTAAATGTAAATAAAGGGAATTTATTAAAAATTAATTTTTGATATAGTCTTTATCAGTTTTGTTTTCAGGAAAAAATAAATGCTTTCATTTTAACGTTTAATGATAATATAAATATATTAAACATTTGCTGTACATTTTCAACATAGTCTTGGATGTTTGGAAAGTGTATTAGAAGAATAATTATATGCATATATAATAAATACTTCACTTAACTTTGTGTTACATCCTTTATTACAACAAACATGATCTTTCAATAATTTATCACAAAAATGAGATCTGCATACAATAAAAGCATAATATCTTTAATGAGCCGACATAAAAGTAGCAAAATGTTAGAGTTGTATTTTGACTGCAATTCAAAATACTATATTACTATAACCGAACTAGTTTCTAAAATGCAACAGAAGCAAAAGATGTCTCGGACAATTGGCTTGTGAGTATGTTTAGACACCAGAAATAAAAAGCTTTTGAGGAAAAAACATTAAAACATCGTCCATGGGCATAATGGGCCTTTTAAACCCGTCTCGTACTTTGAATACAGAAAACGGACTTAAAGTAATGAATTCGTTTTCGGATCGTTATTAAACAATTAACAGCTCGTCACAATGTGTCGTATTTGTGTTAATCATTTACATACATGGTTGCTTGGTGGGGCGGCCTTATTGCAGTGACTTCTAATTCTGCTCCACTCTCAAATATTCCAGGCAAAGTCCATGTATGTCCCTTATATTCCAGCTGAAAAAACATTTAATAATAAACATTAAATATAAATATAAAACAGTTCAAGAGACCACAGTTTAGCAGGAAAAAGAGCGAGATTTGTCTTTTTTTGTTCTTTTTATAAATTCGTGTAAAATACATGTATGTGGTATATATTCAAAGAATGTTACCGGTGGTTGATAGAGTTGGCCGTATTGTAGTCTATATGCATAAGCATAGGTTTTGTCCATGATTTCGTCATGGGTCGCTAAGTCACTTGACAAAGCTTCACATGCACCTGTCTCATTTTCCATTCGTACACCTACGTTATCCGTCTGGAAAAAAATCAGAAATAAGTATTAAATTTCCCATAGAGGATCAATGTCGTGACTTTATTTTATAACATATCAACGGTATTATTTCTAGAATTTTGTCAGGGTTGGAAAAAGAGTTATACTTCTTTTAGTATATTGGAAAATCATATTTCAGACTCAGAGTGTCTAAATTATGAATCTGAAATGGATATAAACCTTCTAGTTCTTAATTTTCTATTATACCAATTGTCAATAACTCCTCGAGTTGCCACACATGTACAAATTGCAAAACAACCTCAATACGTTATAATTTATATTATTATTTGCTAAACTACATTTGAAATGTTGTCTCACAAATTTTAACCATTAAATATGTTTATTTAATCAGACCGGATCCAGAGATGTTTGGCTGATGGGCTTATGTTAGAAAGTGTTATATAGACGCTTAATGTGCCTAGGGATCTATGAACAGCGTCTCGTCTGCACGACCCGGAGCATATAATTTAAGACAATGTGTTGACAAATTGCCTAAAGGCATGGAGTGTTCTAACTGAAATAATTTTATGACAGGGAACTCAGTAGGGGTCCAGGCTGTAATAAACAAGGCTTTAGTAAATATGTACATTTATCTTATATTTCACTGTCACTTTCTAACAATCGCTATGTACACAAAAAATAATATTCATCTTCATTTTTATTGGAGTAACCAAACGACAAATACCAAATTTCTATCAATAGATTTTGTAAGTTTTGCCTTTGTTGCTATTTTGCAATTAGTAATAGTATCATGATTTATATTTTGTACTGAAGGCAAAATACTACTTAGTTCATGTAACAGGGTCTTATTTTTAAGATCAGGTCTAAGGGACAATACTCTTGCTTTACTGTTGGATTTTATAATTTAGCAAAGGGAGACAAATCCGTCGGTCTTGTCTGATACTTTTCAAGGGAGATTACTCTATTGGTTTTAACTGATTTTATCTTATGTTTACATTGGTCAGTATTCTAAGAATTCAAATGATTGGTTCACGGATCATTGGTTTTAAGCTATTTTTATGTCATGTGATTTCTTGGTGGGAAAAAGTCATTGTGTCTTTGTTATGTTGTAAAAGAGAGGTTAGAAAAATTAGTGTTTGTGGTCAAGTTCTTTATTTCCTAAGTTGGTATGTATTTATCCTGACTGCTGCTAAATGCTTTATTGTAAATATGTAGAATTGCATTATTGTGATTCTGTTCTATTTTGGTTCAGTCCATTGATTGTGAAATTTGTAAATAAGTATGAGTTTCAGAATGACATGTATCTATCAAATCACCTTTCATCTTTTATTCACTATTAATATTTAACCTTGCAGTTAACAGTCACTGGTGTGATAGTCAGAGAGGTAATAATTAGATTGATGTACTGCACTCATCCCTCAGATGGTAAGTTACATGTGTGATGTATTGTGTATTGTTTAAAAGGTAAAATATGTTAATTGTGTGTATAATTCCATAAGCTATGATATTATATTTAAGGACTGTTGCTGAGTGTAAAGAACTGAATTGGCCACTAGACATGTAATTGATTATGTAAGATATGATAATAATTAATGCATTGTTTCTACTTTATTTTACTTTATATTTACATATTGTTATATACTTATTTCAGAGTGTTGTTGGTTTGTACTTATCAAATCTACTTGATGTAACAACCTTATTAGAAGATTGGATTGGTATATAAACATATAAGAACTTCACAGCTGTTGTTGAAATGACTTAATAATCCCGAACTTACTTGACCCTCAGGGGCTGGGATAGTTATATATAATTGCGCCGAACCACCCCTATTACATTCATATTTTGCATTTTTTATAACATGTTATATAACATATTAAGATGATTTACTTTCTTCATGTGATAAGCATGTAAAGTGCTCTAATACCATTATATTAACATTATAAAACTGATATTGCCTGTCTAAAGCATAAAATATATTCATTTCTGAGGCATTATGTGCCTTTTATGATAAATGACAAAAGAAGAACAAATGTAAAATAGAGTATCAAATAAAATATACAATAAAGTTACATATTAAATGCAATTGTAATAAAAACTAACTATGCAAAACCGAATATTGCATTATTCTTTTTAAACTTTTATGCATAAATGGAATTGAAATCAAATGTTGGACAAATGTCTGTATTGCATCAATAATTGTATTTATTAAAAATTAATCATGATAGAAATAGAACAATAATTAATTTTTTCAGACTCACAGAAAATGTTTAAAAGCAATGGTGCCGCGGTTTTTCTGTGCTGCTTTTGAATGTCATATACGAGGAATGATCTAGAAATACTCAAGTCATACATTCAATAAAAATTAATGAAAGTATAAAAACAAAAACACTTTATTAATTCATAATATATACTCAACAATTAAATTCATTATAACCAGCACATGGATATCTCGGCAAACATAGTAATGCGTACTCAGGCCGGCCTAAATGTTGTTACAACGTCAAAAGTAGTGACGTCAAAACATACTTAAATGTTTTAATTGTATTTATCGCTGTACACAATAACAGGTCGTTGATTTACCCATTGGTTGAATAATAATGTTTTTATACCATTAGGAATCCTTTTGTCCATAATTGCCGGATGTTTCTCACCGTAAGCGAGCTAACAACTACTCAACTTAAAGCTATGACTATTGAAATGTTGTTATATATGATTGTTGGGCATGTTGAAGTTGAAGGCATGAAATATATTTCATTATTACATATCATTTCATCAAATAAAAATGTACATATTAAAATAAGATGTAAAAACATGTGGGAAAACAAATAAAATGTTGTTGTTTTCGATAACCGTAATCATTCCTAGATAAGGCTTGTTTTTTTAAATTTCAATCATAATTAAAATAAGTATTGGATAGATAATATAAACACTTAAACACATCTTAAGATATTTTCAATTCATCAACTTGAATTTTGTAAAAATAAATCTTCGGATAGGCTGCACATGACAGCAAAATTGCCAGTTTAAGCGCTACACCGACGGAGAACGTTATGGACATGCGCATGTCCCGATCCCATCAAAGCTATTGTTACATGCCAGTAACTAGAAGGACAGGAAATCAAAACCAGCAACAAGCTCTTTTCAATTTTAAAATTAAAATTTATTTTCATGAACCAAATAAACAATTTAAAGAAATTTAACAGTACCATTCAAATTAATAAGTCCAAATTGTCCCTCAGAATTAAAATTGCAAGTCCTCGAATAGTTTCTGATCCCAAGAAATAAAATTAATTTATGAGCACTAAGTCCAAATCCAAGAATGAATATCACAGAGTAATCCAAAGCTTGAATTCCAGCATAAAAGTTTTTTATTAAATAAATGGTGAAAGTTTTCCCATTAAAAATCTCAGTTTTATATATACTATCTAGGAATGTTCATGAATAATCAAGATAGTAGGAAACTATCCGAACTGTGACAAATGTTTGTTTGATGTGCCGTTCGGACGCCTGAATGACGACGTTTTCGGGTAACTATTTAAAATTTGCGATTACAAACCGTTAAATAATCAATTTTTGCGCAGGCATATAAAATTTGTCAGAATATTAAACGAATACCGAGTAATTCTGTATCATCCCTCGTATAGATATTGTGAATACACGTGGCTTTTAAAGGAATTAAAAGAGTTAAATATTCATTACAAAATTATATTGAGTGGAATTTCAATGAAATAATCATATTATAAAGCTATAGATAAAAATGTACAGCTCAGAGACTAATTGTTTAAAAAATGCTTAGATGAATACCCCAAAATTCGATTTCAAAAATCTGGCATTACAAACCTTTATCTCATTATCCTTATAATAATAATAATAAGGAAAAAAAATCTTGTAATTAATTGATTGAAAAGTGTAATCAAAGTACATGAACATCAAAAAGAAATATCATAATTATAACGTCGCTATTTTTCTCGATACTACAGAGCACTTATATTTATTGAAACACTAAAAAACTGTTGCTTACGTGAAAAGTAAGTGGGTAGTAAAACACGATGTGAACATGTTTCATTACATGTACATGTATTTAGAATCAAACGAAAATGATTATCGCGATTTGGGTAAGTTTCAATAATCCAGTCATGGTCTAACACGAAAATGTAACGTTAAGCTTTCTATGAGAAAAGTTTTAATTCATTTTCACCATCGGGTTAGGTAAATTCTTATTTAGTAATACACATTTTGGTAATTAAACTCTGAGCGTCTTATAAGAGTAAGGATTTAGACCTTTATTTCACTTTATTAACATACTCAACATCAGCAATGGCGTCACCAAAGGGCGGCAACTTGAAAGGATGTATTTCATTACTATGAACTTACTTTTCATTAACTGTGTTGGTATCTCGCAGAAACAAATTATAAAAGTTAGTTTTAATGTTTTTTCATGTTCTTTTTTCCCAAATTTCATAGACGAGAATATTTTTTACAACTTAAGTATCATAAAATGCCAAACTTGCACGGTACAGAAAATAAAACTACATTTTTGTATATTTAATAATGAACATGCAATATCGTAAAACTTTTACCTTGAATAGGAAATCAGCCGCGCACGAGCTAAGATTGGTCTTCTCACTGTCTTTACGGACAAAAATATATCTTATAAAAAAAGATTGATTAAGTTTAACACATGTTATCAAAACTAGAAATAATAGCTGCAGGAAGGCAAATTTATCCATTGATAGTTAAAATAATTAAACAATCACTCCTTTTCAATTCTTCCGAAGTGTTACGGTTCTAACGTCTTCTGAAATTGTCTTCTGTTTAGGCTCATATTTTTTAACACATGGTATTTAATTTTTAATGAGTTCCGTCTACAGCTAAATCTCAAAGAAAATAAGCGACCCCATTCAAACGTTCTTTTCATCATTATTCTCTTTAAAAGTAAGGGGTAAATTTTCTTTTTACAAGCTATACTCGACTTATACAATTTCTAGAAAGATAATTAATGTATTTTAGGAAAGAATTGGCTTCATCTAATTTATTATACTAAACTTTATGAAGAAACATGTATTAATATTTTGTATTGCGCATTTAGATATGATAAAATGTTATTATCATTTGTAATAACTTTTTTAATGAAATCATCATGTGAAACTATAACGAAGTTTTTTTCGAGAAATGTCAAAAAATAAAAGTAACTGATGCAGCAGATTGGTTCTATTTATATTGGTATGGAGTCTTTTCATTGGTCATGTGAAAACCTCGAACCAATAAAAATACTCCGTGCAAAATAAAAGTGAGCAATCTGATAAAAATAGACTCCTCAATTCCACTTATATTTTTTGACATCATTGTTACAACAGCTGTTTCTTTGACCGATCAGTTTAGTTTGACAACAAAAATAAACAAATGAAGCGACAAAACTTGCCGAAAATAACTTTATATAATGATGTATTGGAATGACGTTTCCCCTTTGGAAATTAGATTCAACATAAACGCTCTTCAGCTCGAAATCTAGGTCTGCAAGTAAAAGAAAGTGCATATTTAGGTTGCTCAGCGTTTATGACAAGATTGATTTAGTAATGTGATCAAAAAAACATTTTTCAACATAAGTTTACAAAGTTTTCAGCCCAAAACTATGACTTATAATCACTCAGCAAAGTTCTAGAGAACAACTTTCGTAAGTAAACAGTAAAATCAATCTTTAAAAGGATAAAAAGGGTTTATTGTGTCTTTAATGTATATGAAGCATATGAATATAATTGCTCAATGACATAACCTTTTAAACTGGCACTTAAAAACAATCATGTCATCTTTCTTTAGTTCTGTGTTTTATATCACATTGGTTTTATCTTTTTTCAAAAACAAAGAATAGCTTTAGTTATAGTTGTTTTATTATTTATCATTTCTCTCTCAAACAAATTGGATGGTCATTTATTACGATATTTATCTTTCTTGTCGTTCGTTCAGATCTAAGACACCAATTATCTTCAAGAATGTTTAAAATCAAGCGCATAACCTAATTACACACTACAATTATTTTACTTTTTATGTTTTAACGCCAATTAAATTAATATTTTTAGTAAAAAAAGTTGACAGAACAGTTTTTTTTAAATTCAAAATATTAGTGAATGTCATCTGGTGGTTGATAAATCTGACATGTATAACATGAACGCCCCCTAATCCTTTTCCTAAAGTTACGAAAAATGTCCCACATTCGTTAAGTTGATCAAGTTAAAATATATGTTCAGTCTTATCTAATTTATGCTATGATTAGATTTTTGTAATCATTGCACTCATGTCAATGTCACAATATTTCCTTACGGAATTCAGTGCAGACTGTAATAACTATAATAATGAAAATTATTGCGTTGTTTTAATGTTTCAGTGAAACATTAAGTATCAGATTGTCAGCCCTTGTGTATTTTCATAAAATGATGCAATATGTGGAATTGGTTTCTACAAAGAATATGAGATATCAACTCCTTTGACAAGTTCAAGGCCACTAAAAATAAACACTGTTTTCAGCTCAGTTCAGGTTTAATTTACTCTTATTTGTCTTTATATCTGAAATGTTTATGTCTGTGTAAAGTCAACTCCGATAACAGGATTAAATATACACAATGGTTAAAGTGTCTGCTTGCGTTTTACATTAATTAATTAATTAATTAATTAATAGTCATTTGATATAAAATATTTAATTTATAATTAGTTTGCTCTTTCCGTTTGAGTTAATGTTGTTCAT